TGAATAGGGAGGGGGGGTCTTCTAATTTCTACCAGAGAAAAACCTGAGAGCAGCCACGTCGGCGTTTTACTTGATACCGTTTCAAGAGACTGTTTTGCGCGCCTTCACGCCCATTTTTACTTTTGAAACTATTTGGCTACGCATCTTCTGACACTGCCAATAAAGTCGCCACTTTATGCGTGTCCATGCTACGCCTTTTTTCAGGATTGTGCCGTGAAATTCCAAATTACATTAACACAAATTGTCTAGATAATATTTACATCAACTTTTCTCATGTAGACAATGTAAATTTATGCTCGTCGAGTGAAATTTGGGTACAAATTTTCGTTGCGTTAATTTTGTCGCGCATCATCAGATGCTGGCGTCACCAAAAGTTGATGTAAGAACTACGGAGACACATCCACTTCTCGACGCGGTTGATAGATATTATTTTTTGGCGCGTATCCGTGCTACATCCACCTACGGCCGCTCGCAGACTTCTCTCTGCTATAACCATACTGGAATGAGCGCTGCCTACCGCCTCCGTGGTATCCACTGCGCATTTGGCTGATGCCCTTTCTATACCTAGGGATGATCCTACTTGTGGCTCATTCTATACCTAAAGTTAATCCTACTTGCAGCTTATCTGAGGGAGTAGTATAAAGTGTAAAAGGGTACACTGTGGTTGGTTTCCAATCGTACCAAAGTACAACTACAGTGTACCCTTTTACACTTTATACTACTCCCTCGGATAAGCTGCAAGTAGGATTAGCTTTAGGTATAGAAGGGGTATCGAATGAGCCACAAGTAGGATCATCCCTAGGTGTAGAACGGGCATTAAGCCCGTATCAGACTACGGATTGAGATTAGGATTAGATTGAAATTTAACCAATCACAGTAAAGTTTACTAATCTCAAGTTCGGTAACTTTCACTCTGATTGGTCAAATTTCAATCTAATCCCAATCTCAATCGGTAGTCTGATACGGACTTTACTCTTCCGTTACCCTCACTTTTAGCATTTTCACTATAATTCAAGAAACCGTCTTAGGATCATTTTTAGATACTCCGTAGTCAATGAAACTCGCGGGGGGTACGTTGGTATGCCCCATGCATTCTTATGACGTATTGTTAGGCGCTTGGGCGCGACAGTTTTTCAGTTACAACTCTTGTGACAACTATACCCGGTCTCCCCCTACACGAGTTATTGAACCGGATTATAAGCGGCCGTGTGAACGTAGTCAATGTTGACGCGCTGGGACTCTAATTCATTTGAAAAGTAAAAACGGATATGAAAGGAAAGGAAACAAGAAAGAAACGCGCCGGGAAATACAGAGAAGGAAAACAATAAGGAAGAGTGGAGGCAAATTGGCTATTCGCGTCCTTGGGGTCATATCCGCGTTCTATTTTTCCATTGTGTTCACGCCGCACATTATAATTATTTTTTAAATATCAATCATCATTGTTCGTATCATGGAAATTAGATTGATGAATTGTCTGGACAGTCTATTTAGACAAGAACAAAATAATTAAGATAATTAATTTCTCGGCGATTATACGACGTAATATATTCGATACGTCCGGTAATGATTTGGCGAAAATGAAATACGTGGTTACGTACATACCGCGTAATTTAATCCCGCGAGATCAGCGTCGCCACTCTTGAGCCAATCAATGAATTCCATCGCGTTATCGGTGGGGTCGCCCTCTCCATACGTGGCCAGGCAAAACACCGCCAAGCTGTTCGGAATAGTCTTCAGGTGTATCAGCTCCTCCTGTCGCAGCAAAAAGAGATACCTGTTGCATCATTATCTTGCATCATAATTCTTTTTGCATCGCGAGATAGCATCATCATTTATCATTCGCATTTAAGTCGTCGAAGAGTAACGTTTCCGGCGAGACGAGGTGACTGCTAATGTACACCACGTGCGCGAAACGTGCACGTTGATCGACATTGACGAGGGGAATTTTTCAATTGACTCGACCGCTCGAGAGAAGTCTGGCGCGAGAGCGCGCGGCAACAAACAATCTTCGTGCGTAGGACGTCCGTAAATTGCGATTCGTACCCCCTCCGCCCTCTTTTTTTTATTCTCTTGGAGATTGAAGGTCTCTTAATAAGTCGCTATAACAAGTCGCATACCATGTCGCACTCCTCGGGATCCGCCACCATGCCCTTCGTCTTGTATCTGATGCCCTCCTTGGCGAGACGACCCGCGAATTCTTCAGCAGTACCCGTTTGGCTGCCGTAAAATACCACCAGACTCCGGCCGGAGGACTTTAGCTTCTTGATGAAAGAGTTCTCTGACGGCGGTGCCGCGGCGAACGATGTTGGTCTGCAATTGAAGGGCGTTTAATAATGCGTCACTAATCCTTGGATGCGCGCTTAAGGGGGACCTCTATCCTCTATAATTTTTAACTTAATTTTAACGCGGCGTCTACAATGAGATATTTAAGAAAACGACCAATCACAGTCGATTGTCTTCCTCATGTTTCTTAAATATTACGTCTATAAAATGTCATCGTAGACGCCGCGTTAGTTTTCATCCTTTGGATTTAATCTTTTCTCAGAAAAGGATGAAAAGAATTAATTAAACTGATTCCCCAGTAAACACTAATTGACAATTACATAACATTAATATTACAATTTCCTGAGACAATGCAACATCGTGCAACTGTTATACAGTAACTGTTATACGTTACATTACACTTGCATTGTTGAGTGGAAAATTATAATGTCGACGTTATCTAACTGCTGCTTGGCATTTATTAGGTCTACATAGAAACGGACATCAGTTCTGTCTACCGGCAATCTCGACTCAGTCGAATCTTCTCCGAGAATAGGAAAGGCCCCAGCAATCTGCCGGCGGAGACTGGACTCGGATCTATCGAGATCCTCCCCTTTGTATCGGGGAACCAAGGCGTATAGAGAAGGATAATTACTGAATGGAGTAAGACTTTGGCGCCGGCGTGAGATCTTCCTGCTTTCTCCTCCTCAGGAGCCACCATGCTGTCGCTACGAGGAGACTGGCGACCAACAGTATGTCCAGGACACTGAAGAACGGTTCATCGTGTGCGTCCGGGCCGCTTTCGCTCCCCGATGATCCTGCCATTCTTATAGCCTTCGGCTGCGACGCGTCCGCGGTCTGCGAGACAAGATTCAAATGCGATTCAATTAACTGATCGATTCACCTCGACGGGAATTGCCTCTCGCACATGAGCTCTACGGGTCTGCCAGATTATTTCGGTCGCAATGTAGGAAAAAAAAAGTAGGACTCGATACATTATACATTTCTCCCGTTTATCTTATCATTCCCGGCGCCACGTCGTAACGCTAATTAGCAATATAAGCTCTTTCACCGCTAATCCGGGATATCTAATCTAATAACTGTTTTCTCAAAATTCAAAGTTCGAAAGTTTCTATTGCGACGTGACGGGCGGGCATTGAAAAACGCGTTCTTGATCCCATTATAGGATTAATTGAAGACGTACGATTTGCTGGAACAATTATCGCAGACACAGCATGATTCGACTTTTGTTATCTGCGCCTTTATCAAGGTTGAATGTCAGTGATAACGCCGTCACGAATATAAATAAAATGATAAAAATTCGAGCGGCCGCGGCAACATTTCGTATGCCAAGTTTCGCGTAAGCCGAACTTCTTTTCACTTCACTCACTAGGCGGAGGAGAGGGAAAATGCTAACACAAGCCCGGCAATAAAATTCATGTAAATGGTAATCCCCTTTGCCGTAGACTTCTGCATCGCGATCGACGTCCGTTCGTCATTGTTTCGAGTGCCGAGTTATCGCGAAAGCCAATCGTCCAACCGATCGACCTACGAAAGGCATTTACATGAGACGCGTAAGGTAAGCGGTCGAGGAAAAAGAAGCGAATAACTGATAACAGGTCGTCGTGCGACAATTATTAAAACTTCAGCGGAATGATAGACTTGCAGTTTCAAAACTGCTGCAACACAAATGTAGATGCCCCTACTATTTATACGGCAATATTTTAATTTTAGATACTTTTGCCTCAGCTGGTCTTTCCGCGTAATCTACAACGTGCTCTCTGCACCTAGAAGCATTCTATTTTATAAAAACGAATCGAAACGTTTAAAAAATTTGTATGATGTACAGTGTACAATATACAGTTTATCCACTTGCGCAAATTTTTTTAACGCATTTATTGACTACAAAATAGAATGTTTCTAGACGCAAAGAGCACATTGTAGATTAGGCTTAAAGCCTGTGACACAAGAGACACAAGTTACCGTGCGTTATTTAAAATAGAATGGATCTTAAGATGCTGTATGGAATGTTTCACTGACTACGCAGTATCTAAAAATGATGTTGAGACGACCTTAAATATAAGATATGACTATGATTACCTCATGGAGCAGTATTCGTAGTCCGTTCTCATATTTAAGACCAACCTGGCCGGTTTTCCCAACCTCTTGATAAGCTAACTAATATAGTTAAATTATGCCGATCTTTATCTAATTTGAAGGAAAGACAAAGGCACGCACGATTTAACTGGAGGGGGAAAACCGCTGACTTTATCTTACTATCTTATTTATCTTGTTTTATCTTATTTTATCTTATTTTAGCTTTATAATGCCCCGGCAAGGCCTAATGCCCAGTAATGCCGCAAATGTGTACACCACAATGCCCTCAGCAGGGTTTCCCCCCTCGATTTAACTATTAACTTATCAAGAAGTTGGAACAACTGGCCCTTAATGTATCGTAAGCCAATCAACACACAGAGCCAGTATTAGCATCGCGAAACGTTATTTTGAGATGATCGTAAAGTAAGAACGGGCTGCGAATACTGGACTTAGGTCCGGTTTCACCAACGTTGTTTAACTTGAAGCTTAGCTTAATTCGTCCTTTGTCTCTTTCCAACTGTTACTGTTAGAAAGAGACAAGCATGAATTAAGCTATAGATTAAAGTCAAGCGACGTTTGGTGAAACCGGACCCTGGAGCGTAAAACGTCGTCCTAAAAGTACAAATCAGCTATGCCACAATTGCGAGGCCCTTACTTCAACTATTGCCAGCCCCGTGCAGAACGAATCGGATCCTATCGCAATCGGTGAAGGAGATAAACTATCGTGTTTCCCCCTCGCTCGCGTCGACGATCGAGCCGCGCTGGGTGTGTTAACTCGCTGACTTTGCCACGCCGTACGACTCGTGGCTCGCGCCGTCGACGACGCGGACAGATCCTCGCGCGATATTCGGCGAGGAGGACGCTCAGTGTCGGTGTTACGAGTCACAATTGCGATCACGATCGACGATAATAATATTGAGGCAACATCACATTATTCGCCGTTACTAGGCACGTTTCTTTATTCCGCGAACGCGTTATCTCCGCGCGATATGATTTTGTTATTCTGACGTCGAGAAAACACTCATTACGCGCCGCACGAAGGAGCAGAGCTTACATAATTATTCTGCCATTTGCGGGTTTGCGTAACGCAGGTGGAACTATTAGATTCGTTCTCTCTCTCTCTCTCTCTCTCTCTCTCTCTCTCTCTCTCTCTCTCCTCCCCCCCTCCTCTTTCTCGAAAGAATAAAATTCAGCTCACGGATGTTCGAACGAGAGTCGCATTATGGACTACGTTTACACGTCACCCTTAATCGGGTTTAATAACATCCGTAGTTGTAAAACTAGCCAGTCACAGCTATTCCTCCGAAAAATGGGACGACTGTGATTGGCCAGTACCTTAACTGTAAATGTTATTAAATCCGATTAAGGGTGTCGTGTAACAACACTCATTGGGAAGCAACGAGAGACATGTTGTCGCTCTCTTTCACCTACACACGTCAAAATGCTTTCGTTTCCCCGCTTATCTACCTGCTCGTCGTCTTATCTTAAACTTATTCCGCTCGCTCATTATTAAACGTGGTCGAAAGCGTCACGATGACTTCTGAAACCCGGCCCGTGCTGAATGAGGAAAAAATGCATGTAACTCTTGAGCTTGTTTAGTCTACAATTAACAACACGCTAAATCACGAAAAACAAAAAAAAACTCGCAAGATAATCAGCGCCGTTTCCGGCCGTAAATCTTCCGAGACTTATACTGTCGGTTATAAAAATGATTACAAACCAAACATTCTAAACATTCGTCAGCCACTAAACGATCGATATTATTAGCTTATATTTCACTAACTAGATGAGCCCGGCTTATTATATGTCACGTGTTCGCGCCGACGATTATGTCACGGAAAATTACAGGATTATTTTATGATAAATGGCGCGCGTGTATTGAATATGCAAAATAGACGAAGTTTTATCCGTTCGTGGAACGCACTTGATATTTAACGTACGTACAACTTTCGATGAATAAACCCGATAACTTATTTGAAACAAGACATCGATGAAAGTCGCTGTGTTCTAGAAAAAGAAAATTAAAATTTAGACGACCTTCGATTCCAAATTATGCGACGCTTACGACATCAATTACCCGATACACAGTAAACTTGTTATCTTATGTAAGGAAATTTATATTCACAATTTAGCATTTGTTATTGGAAAGTGATTATCTCTCGGTGACGTCAGACCTACACGAAAAAACAAATGCTGTTGAGTTAAACAAAATAAAGTTGCTTGAATTAAACGTCACGGGCTGCCACAAACATAAATGACTCACTGAATTGTATTTCCTACGAATTTCAATTTTAAGCATTGAACTAAATATCCAGATTATTAAGACAACAATCTGGTGTTATTCATTTATTAATACTGATGTTGTTTCAACGATTTTATTTCAATTACACTGACCTTGTTGATACAATATCATTCTTTTTTCCGTGTAAAAGATCCGACAAAGGCGATAAGTGTTTTTAATCAAACAATGAAAAAGTCTAGTCATAATTGATTTTTTTTATAGCGACGAGGAAAGATGTAAAAAATGCATGTAGACATCAAAATATTTAAATTTTTGCCGATTTAAAACATGCGAATTTTACTGTTCCACCAAAGAAATTGCGTTTTAAAATCGACAATACCCGACAGAACGTATTGAAAACAGTACATACCCAAAAATTCACAAAACTGGACACTTGATTCTTTTTTGTAAATGCGTTTTCTCCATGTTTAATCTTTATATAGTTTTTTTTTCAAATAGCCTCATCGCCTATTAGATTTTTCGGAAGGAGCAACTTCTCTTTAACTCCAAATTGCGGTTAAAAAGTTTTAATTGCAGTCTCAGTTACAAAGTTTTAAAACCGTAAAGCGAGTAGGGGGCCTCTCAGGAGCTCAATGAGATTAAGTTATTTACGTATTGTACGGTTATAGGTATATTATACGGTTAACGACACTTTCAAATGTCCGTCCCCGATTTCACCGAAGGGTAAACCGTCGAGTGCATTGTCGTGTACAGGTTCGCGGCATAACTGGGCATTAGACAAGGCCTAATGCCCAAAACATGCCTAGTAATGCCCAGTAATGACCGACGTCTGTCCACCACAATGCTCTCAGCGGTTTACCCCTCGTCGAGAACCGAGGGGCGAGAGGATTATCCGGCCATCGAATTTCATCCGGTCGTTTAAGATTGATAATTGAAAAATCGCTATTGCGTCTCAATGTAACGCTAACTTCTCTTGTCTACTTTCCTTCATTTCCCCGTTTTCGCATACGAACTGCCGCGTAACCGCGCCACGCAATTTCGTAGTAACGCGTTTCATCTCCGCGTATGTTCGAACCTTTCTTTAACAAATCCGTACTTTCGAAAAAAAGAGAACATCGAAGGGCCAATTTCAGTCAATTTTCGTGGCCGATTAGGTTTGCCGTTTCAGCCTTTGTCTCAACGACCCGCGGGCTCGATGAGCATCTTTTCCTCCGGCGGAAACTCGTAAAAAAATTTCATTGCCGAATTCAATAGGCTTGTTTTCTGTTGCTGCACCGGTGAACTAGTGCAGTACGCAAGAAGACGAGAGACCAGGAGCAGAGAGAAACCTTGAGAGCGGCCAGGCCGGGGCGTTTTACTTGGTACCGTTTCGGGAGACTGTTTCGCGCGCTCTTACGCCCGTATTTCTAGAACTTTTATTTTATTACGGATTTTCTGACCGCCGTAAAAATTTCCACTTGATGCATGTCCGTGCATTCCGACATCTAATTTATAAAATTTACATTGTCTACATGAGAAA